ACAGCTCCCCTCTTCCTTAAAGAGACCACCAATCATCAAAATATTGCACTCTGCATCCATTCCACCTAGCATATTTCCATCAAAATTATTCACCAATTCAAGGCTCATCAACCACAAACATATAACCAAAAAATTCAACCAGAAAAAAAAAAAAAACAAATACAAAATTATCCCTGAAATTAACATAAAGCAAAAGAGGGAAAGCAACTTCGCGTCCAATTTAATTACCACCTGAAATCATCAAAAGCTGCCAGGAAGAACCATAACAAAAATTGGACTCAGTGCTATTTCCCTTCAAGATTAGAAACTTTCAAGAAGCCTTGATTGCATAAGCAATCTGATCACAAACCCCATAGACAGTAGAAGCTGAAATCTAGAATTCACAATCTGCCACAAGAAATCACCAAATAACCCATTATAAGCAAACATATACGTATGTATTGGCAGATTTTTAATTGATAACAGAGGAAATAATCCTTAACTCCCCCAAACCAAAATAAAAACTCTCCCTATGTGCCATAAAAATTAATTTGTAGAATGGCAAGCTTGCATGGATTGTTTTGGATTTTCTACTGAGTTGTATTGTATCTCCTAACACCTTTGAAGGCAGAGATGACATGAGTTTGCATATTTTACTTGTCGTACACAGATATACAACTAGATATAGTTCAACGGAAGCCATGGTAGCACAATGGGAAAAACTTGTAAATAAGTATGAACATGAATATAATATGTAATGTTTCGACGTCATGTGATAGGGATCAACCTAAAAGCTTGAAAGACCATATCAGAAACTACAATCAATTTGTATTAGCAAACTCAACATATGTAAAACAACAAAAGCAACAGACCGCCATAAATATCAAGCCAAAACATTCAGACCCCACTCATGTGCTCAGAAAAGCAAAAAACATAAGAAAATGAAATTGCTCATTTTCATTTGGATCCTTAGAAGTTGTCAGAAAGCAAAAAGAACTATAGCATTGCGAGGCTCTTTAGATTTGGTGAACGTCTAGAAAAACCAAAACAAGTCGAACTATTTTCAATCTGAATTTATCATAGCTCAAACTCTAGTAAAACAAGAAAAAAAAATCAGTTCAGAAAAATTGGAATCCTTTCATTCAGCGAGACGATGAAGTAAAGTAAAAGAAACAAAAATTACAAATTCAAAATCTCCTATAGGTTGAAAAATATTTGAACACTAAATCTGCCTTGTCTTGGCACAGCTTTCCATATTCTTAAACATAATAACAAATGTATCCCATAATTAATTTCTTCTTTTATTTTCCTAAATCGAAAAAATTGTCAATACGAACCTCTCAACTCAAACTATAATGAAACAAAAAAATACTCCACAAAGAAGAAACCCTGTTTATTTTCCAAGAACATGAAGGAATAAAAAAAATTGCAACTTCAGCTTAGGTTTTTATTATAAGAAATAACAACACACTTAAGCGTGTGATTCCAAAATATCTTTCATTTTCCTCCATTTTCTCAGCTGCCAAACTAAAAATACAAAAGAAATCGAAGAAAATAAAATCACATAGCAACTTCAGCTTAGGTTTTTATTATAATAAATAACAACACACTTAAGTGTGTAATTCCGAAACTTAATATCTTCCATTTTCCTCCACTTTCTCAACAACCAAACAAAAAATGAAAAAGGAAATGAGGAAAATAAATCACTCAATAGACAGAAACCCTAATTTTTTNGTAATTCCGAAACTTAATATCTTCCATTTTCCTCCACTTTCTCAACAACCAAACAAATAATGAAAAAGGAAATGAGGAAAATAAATCACTCAATAGACAGAAACCCTAATTTTTCTAACAGTCAAAGACACAATATCAGGACCCGCTACTCAAAATACTCAAAACCCTCTACTTCAAACAGCTACGCTGCGTTTGGCGGAATGGAATGGAAGTGAGGTCTTGAGATTGGAGTTGACAAAAATCAGTCCAAGATTTCAACGAATTTAAGCCCCTCCCCAAAATTCATTTCCAAAGCTCGAATTCCAGGCTCCCAAACGCATTGTTAAAGAAATTAAGAACACAAAGACTCAAAATTCAAAGCGTATATAAAAACCCAAACATGAATTATACACCTAAGCCATAGGTTTAAAAAATTCAAAAAAAAAAAAAACAGAGCAGCAACGCACAAATCAAAATGCGACCCCACGTGCCATGTTTGAATTGAAGAAACAGAAAGAAAAGAAGAAGCAGCGAAAAGAGCTAGAGAGAGAACTTACTAGTTGGGGGTGAAGAGAGAGACGGAGAGCACAGAGAGAGAAGAGAGAAATTTGGCGAGCGAAAAGGTAAAGAGGGGCAGCGAAAATACTTAAATTGTAGGGTGGAAACCGTGATTTCGCGGGTCAACTAAAACTCAACTAAAAATAATAGTTGGTTATTGGATTTTGGATAAAAAAAAAAAAAAATTCAAGTTTTGATTATACTATCGGATTTTTGTGATCCAATTCGATTTCCTCCAAAGTTTGTTGTATTTGAATCCAGTTATTTAAATTGCCCTCAACCTAACTGTTGAACACAGGTCCATCTCGGGATTTGTCTTTTTATTTTTTTTTTGGTTTTACGATTAAAAATGTTTACATTAATTCACACATATTTTAATAAAAATATAATTATATGTTTGTATGTATCTACACGTACTATCCATATTATACTACACTTAAAAGAATGTTAAATTGAAAAAATTTTGAATGTTTATATTACCTTTAATAAAATTGATAAATACTACAATGTCCATCACAATCTAAATTAGAATGTCAGCTATTCAATCTGTCGTGCTTACATTAGTTAGGGACTTTTTATTTACNGTTAAATTGAAAAAATTTTGAATGTTTATATTACCTTTAATAAAATTGATAAATACTCTAATGTCTATAACAATCTAAATCAGAATGTCAGTTATTCAATCTGTCGTGCTTACATTAGTTAGGGACTTTTTATTTATTCATGTCATTCATTATAGTACCCATTCATTTCGAAACTCATCGTAAAAGATATTCAATTTATAATGAATACATCATCAATTAACAAATGAATCTGAATGCTTCATATTCCATGTTCTCGTTTGTCTCTCCTATTCCATTATCTATAGGGTTTTAACCAACAAAAATTTATTTCACTTGTCGTTTTTTTGTTCCCACTGTGTGTGAAATCAACAGCCTGCTCCTATCTCTCTCTCTCTCTCTCTCTCTCTCTCTCTCTCTCTCTCTCTCTCCATACACACAACTTTCGTTCCAAATTTGAAGCATTAGAGATTCCGACCATTGACAAAATTAGTATCCTTTTTGAAGGCATGGGACATATAAACACTCTGGCAGTTGTGGTCTTTGCGGATCCTTCGATATTTGTTCGTGTTCTTCAGGAAAAGCACAGCATTGATGGTCGGCCAATGAGATTTACATATGCTTCTAACACTAATTTTGGTTTATATGTTTTTAGTTCTTGGTTTGTATTGTACAAATTTGATTTTGGTTGTTGTAAACGGTTTTGTTCATATGTATTTTTATGTAGCTAGGATTTGCAATTTTATTATAGTACCAGATGTTGTATTTGTAAGTAATTGATTTTGAGTGTTTATTGCATTGAAGTACTTTTAATAGATTTTAATGGTTTAGTTCATATGCATATACATATAGATTGAATTTCAACCTCAATTGTATCGGTAGATGTGTATTTCTTTGATTTTAGTTTTTGTATTTTTATTATTTTGATGGAAATTTTGCCGCTAATATTTTTATTTTTGGCTTTAGAGTTTGTTACAATGATGGTTGCTTAGAGTTTGGTCATATAGATACACATATTTTTGAGGTTGGTTTGTTGTGATTATTTGTTTTATTATATTGATTTGATTTTTGGATTTTTTCAGTAGTCAATTGATATTATGTGTAAATATTGGCTACATTGGGGTTGTTGTACTTTGGAGTTTGGTTATTTTGCTTTTAGGTTTTGTTATGTATTAAACCATCTCTAACTATGCTCTCTATTTTATAGAGCACTAGTTATTGTCTGTGCCTGAAGGCACAGATTAATAAAAAATAGTAAATAATAAATATATTTGTATTCATATTCAAAATTAAATCATAAATATAGATAAAAGATAAAAGAATTTAAGTATCAATTTGTAGTTGGGGGTGAGAGGTAGTGGTAAAAGATGGTGATGGTTGTGGTGCGTGGTAATGACCGTGGCGGTGATGGTCGCAGTGAGGACAACGACGATGGTGGTGGTGGTGGTGGCGATAGAGGGTGGTGGCGGCTGCGACGGTAGTGGTGGCTGTGACGGCGATGGCAGTGTCCGGGGGGGTGGCCGCGATGGCGACGGCGATGATGGCGGTGGTGGTGATGGTGATGATGATGGTGATAGTGACGACGACAATGACAGTGGTGGTGACAGAGGTGGCAATGATGGTGGTGGTGGCGACGGCAACAGTGGTGGTGGTGATGGTGACAATGGCGGCGATGGAGGTAAAAGTAGTGGTGGAGCGGTTTCAAATACTATTTTTTTGAAAGTATTTATAATAAATAATTTTTAAAAGTACTTTTAAAAAGTTACACCAAACACACCCTTAAGACCTATTTTTTCTATTAAATTTAAGGTGTTAATATTAGTCGTTAGATTAACTTTAAAGTAAAATTTAAAGCGATCTCAATCGCAAANGGGGGGGGGTGTTGTTGTTAGGTTCTCTTTGTTGGAGGCAAAAAAGAAAACAAAAATAAGATAGGAAATGAAAAAGAAAAACCAGAAAAAACAAATATGAAGTATTGGAAATTAAGATAGGAAAACCGTATATAATGACTAAAATGACATCTTAACTATCAGACCCGCCCTCAAATTTGTCGCATTGGAGAATTTACATGGTCTGCAGGAGTATCTAGAAAGTTGAAACGGTTTAACTCCAGTCCTACATGCAAGTTCAAGTTATAATCCCAGGGCAGTCAAACTGGTATGAAGTTATCCAAAGATCTGCTTCTTTATATTACAGACCCAATCTTTCAACCATGCCAGAGATATATTCAGAAATTGATGTAAGAATAATGAATGTACCTTTGTTGCCAGTGAAAAGATTAAATTGGTCAATTGCCTGCCGCAGAAACATTTCAACTCCACTGACAATGATGGCTCCAGCAGCCTCAGCTGCTTTTAGAAGAGTGGTTTTCCTAGGTGTGTACACAGCATCAAAGACGAGCTTGCAATCACACAAGGTTGCCTAAAAAGGAAAGCACATATATGGTTTTTATCATGAAATCAAAATTGGAATATTGATTTAGAAGGATGAAAGTATTGGAGAAACCTCAGCCACGGGAATCCGATCCATATTTGGATGCATTCCTAAAGGTGTTGCATTTGCGAGGATTGTACCTTTCTCGGGCCTGAAATTAACTAAATCTTCATAAGGCCGAGCTTGACCTGACACGGCATCGGCAAGAGACTTTGCTCTATCTTTACAATACACAAGATTAAGAGTCAGAATGGAGCTCCTCCATGGTATGGATTTCTCTAGTTCATCAGGTCATCAACCATGGCATGATGCATCAAGGTATTAACAAGTAGTTGCCTCATATGACTAATTAGTTAATTCTACTGTTTGCTTCGTGCCAATGATTGGCAACTCAATGAACTAGAGAAATCCATACCGTGGAGGAGCTTAAGCCTTATATCATAATATGACTTAAAGGTAAGAATATAAGAGAGAATTCCAATTTCATTCTCAATAGAGCTTCGAGTATCCATACCAAAATCAATGTCAAAAATGACAACCCGTGCTCCCCTGCTTTTAGCACCAAATGCCAGTGCTCTTCCTGCACCTCCAGCGCCAACTAGCACAAACAATATCCCAGTGAGTGGAGAGGGGAGAAATGCGTCCCCATTATTGCATCCCCCTACAGCGAAGTTCCAAAATGAGCAAGCATTAATATCTCTTCGAAAAGATGTCTCATGTCAGTCATTGTTGATTTTATAATAGTGAGTAGCAGGGTGATTTTTACACCTCTTCTTTTAACAAACACTAACTTTCATTCACCAATTANTCTCATGTCAGTCATTGTTGATTTTATAATAGTGAGTAGTAGGGTGATTTTTACACCTCTTCTTTTAACAAACACTAACTTTCATTCACCAATTAACTCAGTAAAATCTTCAGAGAGGTCATTAAAGCAACATTTTAAGCTACAGTGAGCGATTTTGAGCAACAACTTGTGCCCAATCAAAATCCACAAGGAATGGAATTGACTAGGTAACTGGAAGCCATTTTGTAGCTCGAAAATTCTGGCTGCTACTATCTTGTGGTAGCGACCAACCTGTGGAACGTTTACCTAAAAATCATTCTAGAGGGTGAAAATATTCTGAAACACATCAAATTCTTAGTATAACTAGCTTTACGTATTTTAGACTTCATCTCCAATTTTTATTTGGGACATAAGGATTCGTATTTTTTGTCTAACAACAAAATGAGGCGTAAGACTCTCCAAATGGATTGCTAGCATATTAACTGAGACACACAAGAGAGACAGACTAATTACACTAACTGCTTGAATTTCACATGCTATGCATGCTGCTGAGAGTTGAAAGTGAGAGGATAGTATAATAAGCAGAGGACTGGGAACTGATAGATGGCTCCAGCACTGGTAGAAAAACATGGTAAGAGTGGAATGATCTAAGGATTAGCTTCGATGTCGTCAAACCAGGCAAATTATTGTCTTGTTTATTGGGTTATTTCTTAATTATTTTGTGATTGGAGCACTTCATTTTTTGAGACCTTGTACTTCCCAAAAGACAAGGTCTTGTTCATTTAAAGAAAATTTGCATGATATGGTACATTCTTGCTAAATGCAACAACTTAAATTGGATAATTGCACATGTAATTTCAAAAGGAGAAATGGTAATGTCAGCCTCAGTACCTTTAAGAGCATCCTCAATGGCAGTTATAGAAGCCTCACAATCTGTATTATAACCAACCAGCTTGCCATCACTAGGTCTCCTTATAATAGTATTAACAGCACCTATAGACTGATGAAGAATGCAAAGTAGATTAAATTCTCAACAAATTAACACCAGACAAGGGGCATTGCAATTATGACTACATGCCAAGATAGCAAGATATCATGGTCCTCAAGATCAATGTTCAAACATTTGAATCCCACTGATTTTTCTTTCATTGGAACAGAGTTAGTTTGTGATTAACGAAGTGTCATTCTGTATCAACAAGATACATCTGTCACTGCCAACAGCTGTTCAAACCATGGCTGCTTGTCATTTTACCAAGTTTAAAGGCTTACATCAAGGTCAAATGATGGATACATCACTCTACCAATTTGAAAATATATCCAAATTTGCGGGCCCTCCTTTCAGTGAGATAGGGGAACTACTGCTATATGCCCTGATGTAAGCCTCTGTAATTGGTAGCAGACTGAACAGGACAGGACAGGACAGGTTACAATTGTGGTGGCTGGCAACCACTGAGTAATGCATATACCATCTATGCATCCCCAAAAAAGTCGCTTCGGTGCACTGCAGGATGTTTTAGGAATGGAACGTGCAATATTAAGATAGTGAACAAGATTCGCATGAAATTGCAGTTGTTTCCAGGAAAAAACAAATTACTATTGGAAATGAAATATNGAAGGATGTTTTAGGAATGGAACGTGCAATATTAAGATAGTGAACAAGATTTGCATGAAATTGCAGTTGTTTCCAGGAAAAAACAAATTACTATTGGAAATGAAATATCAGGTAGACCTGAGCAAGTGGATGGACTTCGTCACAAAATTCAATTGCTGCTTCCTTGTATGGAATTCCTACACTACAGTTCAAGTATTTAGGAAACAAAGAAATCATGTTAGTCCCCAAAGACAGTAAAATAGGTAAAGAGAGAGAGAGAGAGAGAGAGAGAGAGAGAGACATAGAGAGAGAGAAAGATTTTATGAATGGATAATTTAATTTTAAGGATGACAGGATTGCCATGTAAAAATCTATCTTACATAAACTCAAGTAGGAAGATGAACACAAGCAAATTGATTTCATCTGGTTTCACTTGGTTTTGCTAAGATTAAAAGAAAATCACAGAGAGAGGACATCCTTGTGAGTGAATAAAGAGTGGATTGTTTCTTAGATCACAGAATTTGCAAGCAATGACTGAAAAGTGACGGCCAGATGTGCAAAGCCAGATAATATTTCGAATACTGTCCCATTTAGAAAAACAAAAAATAAACTCATTCTGCTTCATTTGGTGCATCATGCATTTCTCTTTTTCTCCCCGAGAGGGGAAGAAATCCTTTGTCTCCCTTGTGTTCCAACATGAGTAACATTGAGTAAATAAGTATTTCTTTGCATACTGAGATAGTAAACAGGTTTTGTTTTTTGTGGGGGGTGGGGGGAGACGTAGAGATAGATAGAGACAAAATGCAAGTGGTTACCCCAACTAATGAAGACAAGAAAAGCATATAAACTACATATGTAGAATACACTTTGTGAAAAGAGCACTACTCATTCCAAATATCGATTCAAGTGACATCATATTACTTAACGATGAATTTTTTTTTTTTCAGAAACAAGCATAGATTTTTTCTGTTTTTTCATGGAACTTTAAGATCACTAGCACATACCTGAAACCAGCGAAATCAGGACTTGAATAGACACAAAAGAACTCCTTGAGATCATCCACAAGCATCGGAACATAAATTCCATTGTAGCCCACATGTTTGAACGTAGGATTATGCAAAATAGGACCTTTGCTATGGCTTACTGGTTTTGAGATAAGCCCAAAAACTTTTGTATCCGCATCTATACACTCAACATTATAAGCTTTTCTAAGGCTATCTAGAATAGGCAGACCAGGTACTAAATTGTCCTCAATAGATCCATAGACTAAAAAGCCACCAAACTTTGGGCCCAATAACTGGCTTATAAGACCTCTTTCCCCATTGGAGTATGCAATTAGCGGAACCTGTAGGTAATCAAGAATAAATGAGTCATCAAACTGCACAAACTATGAACAGCTATTTTAATGAAAGATTGATATCACCCCTACTTCTGTACACTCTGAAGTCACATTGCTTCAGCTACAAATTAAGTTACAACTTACCAATTAATAATGCTATTGTACCTTTAAACCAAATTTTTTCCGTGTTCTTTTCCCTTTTAGACAGGCCATACATTCCAAATCATCTGAACTTAATAGGTCGTTACTATAGTTTCTTCCTGCACATCTGCCTTTTTCTCTTATACATGGAAAGGTAATTTGATTTTACATTCTTTTCCATCAAAATTCTCTTAGAAGAAAATGAATTGGTATCTCATCATGCATTTGTATATCTTGCCAGCTGACATTAAATACTCAATATCGCATCTTATTTGCCATGTATGTGTCCTAGAGTCAGCTTGTGCCTTTCATTCAAATCTATTACCTGCCATTCATTTCACAGGTAGATCTTGTATTTTTAACACAAGGTCTGTCATGATGAACAAGGAAAACAATATAGCCAGTAGTCAGACATAAGTACCTGGCAATGTGAAAGCAAATGAAAAATCCTCGTTATTTCTGTAATATTAGTTGCATTGGCAACAAGTTTGATCATATCTGCTCCAGTAGATTGCATATGGGCCACAAGATGGCTTAGATCTACTTTTGGGGAGGACACACTGTCCACATAACAAGATACAATTATTTTGCTCCTGCTACGCCGTTTCAATTTGTGTTCTTTTGTGAGATCAGAAGCTACCTGGATTATTTTAGGGTAACTGTCAGACAATCACATAACAGGATGAATTTCATATGGAAAAACAACAGCAATGGCATACATTAGTTTGGAATTTTAGTTTGATGGCTGATTCTCCAATTCATAGCTGAAGTAAACGAGGGGAACCACATGAACAATTTATGGCTATTCATTATTCTTCCTTCAAAATTTTCTTCCTTGATGAAATCTAGGAACTTGAACACTCAGAATGTTCTAAACAAGGACAAAAGTTACTCCTTTCATTCCTCACGTTTTAGTGTCAAATGTAGCTCCCCCATCGTTGGCACAACGACTAATTAGGTCTGAAAAAGAGTGGTATTATTTTTCTTCGCAAATATGAACATGAAAGATTTGATAAACACTTACATTAGAAAACATAAATGAAAAGTAAAATCGTACATGAATACTCGTGTGTCGTTTTGCACATCTGTGCATTTGAGTTATGGCCTTTTGTGCAGTTAACATGAAGTGACATAAGACTTTTGCATGATTACCCTTCCTTTTCTTGTATTGTGGAGAATATGATCGCAAAATTCACCAAATTATTTCCTTTTTAACATTCATGGGCACACTAACAATGCTGTTTTTAAAGCAGCCGAAAATCTCAACAGTATTCCACAGATATGACTGGCATCACACCTTGGTAATTCTATTGGGAAAAAAACTAGGATTTCTATATGAGTTATCTGCAAACTACTTTCAAAGCCTCAAGTTGCCAGACCTTACATTTCTTTTTTTTTTTTAAATTTTCGGCTTTTTCTTTGTCCACTGATAAGCCTTTGATGGAGGCTGTATATCATGAATGAATAAGAATACCGAAAGTACGCATCTCTTTATCCTTTTTGGTAAGTCAATCAAGGAGTTCCTGAATAATAAACTATAATTTAGCCATAATACTAATTTTTACTTTTGATCAGGTTTCTGATGTAGATGTCACTTTCTGGTCAAGTCAGCAATTGACCTGTGTAGCATTCTAGCAGTTTTTCAAAGTCATTGTAGAAAGACAAGAGGGGTATGATTATGTGTGTGAGTGTGCACTTATGAGTATACGTATACAGGATGATGTGGTGGGCAGATCGTATGTTGCGTTCCTGATCCAGAATGGAAGCCTAATTGCATCACCGACAACACCAGGCCAAAAGAAACAAAGAAAAAGAATCGGGCCTCCAACATGCATCGTGGCTTTATTAACTTTAAATGAATACGGGTTAGCTTCGTTGCATTTTGTGCCACACCTGTTTTAAAAAATAAGGGTGTAGCCCATAAATTCGATATAATGACATGAGATTACAGTTTGATCAGGAGGTCATAAATGACCATTGTCTAGTTTCAAACTTCAAAGTCCCCATGCACAAAGTACCTGAAAAATGTGTAACCACCTACCTTGAGCTCAAATTCGATATAATCCGCTCCCAAGTCCTGGGCTAAAAGAAGTGCTTCCAGCCGCATTTGTTCATCACCATCATACTGACCACCTTCCCATTTTGGCCTGGAAAAGATAATAAAATATCCAACTTCATAAATGGAAAAAATCAATTTTCTGTTATAAAAGATAAAAAAATGGACATAGTCCTAATCGTAATCATACATAATGAGTAGAAGTAATGAGATCACTCCAAACAAGGAGAGATGTTATCTGGGGGGATTTCAACATGACATGCTCAGTAGATGTGTTACTACTCAATTTGATCAGATTTTACTATGTATATCCTCGACATATCTCATCCACTGGTTATTGTCCTCGTCATTAGACATAAATGCCTACCAAATTATATCTCACGCATGTTACATACGCATAAATGATAAGTATAAGTTTTGCAGCAGTGAAATATCTTCTGGATGCTGCCTTGGTGGTCACATTTTACAACTACTGTGAAGGTAATTTGCTCGTATGGACTCTTATAAGTCCTACTGGTGGACTTTACAGATGCAACCAATGTAACAGAAACTATTCGTGGTTTCTACAATGGACTTAAATACACAATACAAGCATGATTGCCTCTCTAAATATTCGGATAGATGGTTGCATGCTATTTTCAAAGTTTGAAGTTTAGGTTGATTAATTAAGGCACTTTTTCAGAACTCAATAAAGTTACAATTGAAGGAGCATCAAATAGTGTTGGGGCACAACTGAGGCCCCCACAAACAGGCTGGACCTTGTACTAAAATCTTGAGCTATACATTTTTGAGGAGAGAACCAAACGAGATATTTTCATGGTAACTTTTTTATACTGNGATGGGGCACAACTGAGGCCCCCACAAACAGGCTGGACCTTGTACTAAAATCTTGTGCTATACATTTTTGAGGAGAGAACCAAACGAGATATTTTCATGGTAACTTTTTTATACTGCACTCTAATGCTCCTCTTGGTAGAAAGGATGAAAAGTAGGAGGAATATACTTTTTATGCGTCAAAGAAATAAAGTAGGAATGATACACTTTCCTTCCTTTGTTTTTGGTAAGATGAATGAAAAATAAAAATGATTAATTTTTTTTTTTGCTTGGTAAAANGGGGGATATACTTTTTATGCGTCAAAGAAATAAAGTAGGAATGATACACTTTCCTTCCTTTGTGTTTGGTAAGATGAATGAAAAATAAAAATGATTAATTTTTTTTTTTGCTTGGTAAAATGAAAAAAATATTTTTTTAATTTTTATTTAAAAAATATAAATACATATTTTATCATTGTATTTATATATAAAATTAATGTGTACATAATATATGTATATATTAAAGGATATATAGACAAATAAGATACATTTCAATACAAATAATTAATTTTTCATCCATTTTTCTTCTGATTTTGGAATGATTGATTTTAGTGAGTAAAAAGAAAAGCTCATATATTCATCCATTATTTTTTACTAAACATAATGTTTTATTTATCCCTATAACTTTCCACCCTTCTAATTTTTCATCATTCCATTTTNCCGATTTTAGAATGATTGATTTTAGTGAGTAAAAAGAAAAGCTCATATATTCATCCATTATTTTTTACTAAACATGATGTTTTATTTATCCCTATAACTTTCCACCCTTCTAATTTTTCATCATTCCATTTTTCCATGGTACTAAAAGGAGCATAAATTAACATTGTAAGCCAAGTAAATGTAGGGCCGGGGGCAATTGTTCCCTGAACTTTTCAACTCCCTTAGTGAGNACCAATGGCATACATTAGTTTAGAATTTTAGTTTGATGGCTGATTCTCCAATTCATAGCTGAAGAAAACGAGGGGAACCACATGAACAATTTATGGCTATTCATTATTCTTCCTTCAAAATNAGCAATGGCATACATTAGTTTGGAATTTTAGTTTGATGGCTGATTCTCCAATTCATAGCTGAAGTAAACGAGGGGAACCACATGAACAATTTATGGCTATTCATTATTCTTCCTTCAAAATTTTCTTCCTTGATGAAATCTAGGAACTTGAACACTCAGAATGTTCTAAACAAGGACAAAAGTTACTCCTTTCATTCCTCACGTTTTAGTGTCAAATGTAGCTCCCCCATCGTTGGCACAACGACTAATTAGGTCTGAAAAAGAGTGGTATTATTTTTCTTCGCAAATATGAACATGAAAGATTTGATAAACACTTACATTAGAAAACATAAATGAAAAGTAAAATCGTACATGAATACTCGTGTGTCGTTTTGCACATCTGTGCATTTGAGTTATGGCCTTTTGTGCAGTTAACATGAAGTGACATAAGACTTTTGCATGATTACCCTTCCTTTTCTTGTATTGTGGAGAATATGATCGCAAAATTCACCAAATTATTTCCTTTTTAACATTCATGGGCACACTAACAATGCTGTTTTTAAAGCAGCCGAAAATCTCAACAGTATTCCACAGATATGACTGGCATCACACCTTGGTAATTCTATTGGGAAAAAAACTAGGATTTCTATATGAGTTATCTGCAAACTACTTTCAAAGCCTCAAGTTGCCAGACCTTACATTTCTTTTTTTTTTTTAAATTTTCGGCTTTTTCTTTGTCCACTGATAAGCCTTTGATGGAGGCTGTATATCATGAATGAATAAGAATACCGAAAGTACGCATCTCTTTATCCTTTTTGGTAAGTCAATCAAGGAGTTCCTGAATAATAAACTATAATTTAGCCATAATACTAATTTTTACTTTTGATCAGGTTTCTGATGTAGATGTCACTTTCTGGTCAAGTCAGCAATTGACCTGTGTAGCATTCTAGCAGTTTTTCAAAGTCATTGTAGAAAGACAAGAGGGGTATGATTATGTGTGTGAGTGTGCACTTATGAGTATACGTATACAGGATGATGTGGTGGGCAGATCGTATGTTGCGTTCCTGATCCAGAATGGAAGCCTAATTGCATCACCGACAACACCAGGCCAAAAGAAACAAAGAAAAAGAATCGGGCCTCCAACATGCATCGTGGCTTTATTAACTTTAAATGAATACGGGTTAGCTTCGTTGCATTTTGTGCCACACCAGTTTTAAAAAATAAGGGTGTAGCCCATAAATTCGATATAATGACATGAGATTACAGTTTGATCAGGAGGTCATAAATGACCATTGTCTAGTTTCAAACTTCAAAGTCCCCATGCACAAAGTACCTGAAAAATGTGTAACCACCTACCTTGAGCTCAAATTCGATATAATCCGCTCCCAAGTCCTGGGCTAAAAGAAGTGCTTCCAGCCGCATTTGTTCATCACCATCATACTGACCACCTTCCCATTTTGGCCTGGAAAAGATAATAAAATATCCAACTTCATAAATGGAAAAAATCAATTTTCTGTTATAAAAGATAAAAAAATGGACATAGTCCTAATCGTAATCATACATAATGAGTAGAAGTAATGAGATCACTCCAAACAAGGAGAGATGTTATCTGGGGGGATTCAACAAGACATGCTCAGTAGATGTGTTACTACTCAATTTGATCAGATTTTACTATGTATATCCTCGACATATCTCATCCACTGGTTATTGTCCTCGTCATTAGACATAAATGCCTACCAAATTATATCTCACGCATGTTACATACGCATAAATGATAAGTATAAGTTTTGCAGCAGTGAAATATCTTCTGGATGCTGCCTTGGTGGTCACATTTTACAACTACTGTGAAGGTAATTTGCTCGTATGGACTCTTATAAGTCCTACTGGTGGACTTTACAGATGCAACCAATGTAACAGAAACTATTCGTGGTTTCTACAATGGACTTAAATACACAATACAAGCATGATTGCCTCTCTAAATATTCGGATAGATGGTTGCATGCTATTTTCAAAGTTTGAAGTTTAGGTTGATTAATTAAGGCACTTTTTCAGAACTCAATAAAGTTACAATTGAAGGAGCATCAAATAGTGTTGGGGCACAACTGAGGCCCCCACAAACAGGCTGGACCTTGTACTAAAATCTTGAGCTATACATTTTTGAGGAGAGAACCAAACGAGATATTTTCATGGTAACTTTTTTATACTGCACTCTAATGCTCCTCTTGGTAGAAAGGATGAAAAGTAGGAGGAATATACTTTTTATGCGTCAAAGAAATAAAGTAGGAATGATACACTTTCCTTCCTTTGTTTTTGGTAAGATGAATGAAAAATAAAAATGATTAATTTTTTTTTTTGCTTGGTAAAATGAAAAAAATATTTTTTTAATTTTTATTTAAAAAATATAAATACATATTTTATCATTGTATTTATATATAAAATTAATGTGTACATAATATATGTATATATTAAAGGATATATAGACAAATAAGATACATTTCAATACAAATAATTAATTTTTCATCCATTTTTCTTCTGATTTTGGAATGATTGATTTTAGTGAGTAAAAAGAAAAGCTCATATATTCATCCATTATTTTTTACTAAACATAATGTTTTATTTATCCCTATAACTTTCCACCCTTCTAATTTTTCATCATTCCATTTTTCCATGGTACTAAAAGGAGCATAAATTAACATTGTAAGCCAAGTAAATGTAGGGCCGGGGGCAATTGTTCCCTGAACTTTTCAACTCCCTTAGTGAGCTCCCTACAAACTGACGATGCCCAGAAATTAGTCTTGAATATTCTCATCGATAATCTGATTAAATAACAAGTCTTTAGAATCTTTATGTAGAGTGTGTTTTTAANCAATTGTTCCCTGAACTTTTCAACTCCCTTAGTGAGCTCCCTACAAACTGACGATGCCCAGAAATTAGTCTTGAATATTCTCACCGATAATCTGATTAAATAACAAGTCTTTAGAATCTTTATGTAGAGTGTGTTTTTAATCATTACTGTTTAGCAACAAAATGAAAGAAAAAAGTATACAAGAACTTGAAATTGACAGGGTACTTCACAACTATCAAAATATTTAACTTAAAAAAGCATAGTGCATGAAATAAATGAATAGGAATAGCGAAGACGGATTAATATAGTTGANATTTTCTTCCTTGATGAAATCTAGGAACTTGAACACTCAGAATGTTCTAAACAAGGACAAAAGTTACTCCTTTCATTCCTCACGTTTTAGTGTCAAATGTAGCTCCCCCATCGTTGGCACAACGACTAATTAGGTCTGAAAAAGAGTGGTATTATTTTTCTTCGCAAATATGAACATGAAAGATTTGATAAACACTTACATTAGAAAACATAAATGAAAAGTAAAATCGTACATGAATACTCGTGTGTCGTTTTGCACATCTGTGCATTTGAGTTATGGCCTTTTGTGCAGTTAACATGAAGTGACATAAGACTTTTGCATGATTACCCTTCCTTTTCTTGTATTGTGGAGAATATGATCGCAAAATTCACCAAATTATTTCCCTTTTAGCATTCATGGGCACACTAACAATGCTGTTTTTAAAGCAGCCGAAAATCTCAACAGTATTCCACAGATATGACTGGCATCACACCTTGGTAATTCTATTGGGAAAAAAACTAGGATTTCTATATGAGTTATCTGCAAACTACTTTCAAAGCCTCAAGTTGCCAGACCTTACATTTCTTTTTTTTTTTTAAATTTTCGGCTTTTTCTTTGTCCACTGATAAGCCTTTGATGGAGGCTGTATATCATGAATGAATAAGAATACCGAAAGTACGCATCTCTTTATCCTTTTTGGTAAGTCAATCAAGGAGTTCCTGAATAATAAACTATAATTTAGCCATAATACTAATTTTTACTTTTGATCAGGTTTCTGATGTAGATGTCACTTTCTGGTCAAGTCAGCAATTGACCTGTGTAGCATTCTAGCAGTTTTTCAAAGTCATTGTAGAAAGACAAGAGGGGTATGATTATGTGTGTGAGTGTGCACTTATGAGTATACGTATACAGGATGATGTGGTGGGCAGATCGTATGTTGCGTTCCTGATCCAGAATGGAAGCCTAATTGCATCACCGACAACACCAGGCCAAAAGAAACAAAGAAAAAGAATCGGGCCTCCAACATGCATCGTGGCTTTATTAACTTTAAATGAATACGGGTTAGCTTCGTTGCATTTTGTGCCACACCAGTTTTAAAAAATAAGGGTGTAGCCCATAAATTCGATATAATGACATGAGATTACAGTTTGATCAGGAGGTCATAAATGACCATTGTCTAGTTTCAAACTTCAAAGTCCCCATGCACAAAGTACCTGAAAAATGTGTAACCACCTACCTTGAGCTCAAATTCGATATAATCCGCTCCCAAGTCCTGGGCTAAAAGAAGTGCTTCCAGCCGCATTTGTTCATCACCATCATACTGACCACCTTCCCATTTTGGCCTGGAAAAGATAATAAAATATCCAACTTCATAAATGGAAAAAATCAATTTTCTGTTATAAAAGATAAAAAAATGGACATAGTCCTAATCGTAATCATACATAATGAGTAGAAGTAATGAGATCACTCCAAACAAGGAGAGATGTTATCTGGGGGATTTCAACAAGACATGCTCAGTAGATGTGTTACTACTCAATTTGATCAGATTTTACTATGTATATCCTCGACATATCTCATCCACTGGTTATTGTCCTCGTCATTAGACATAAATGCCTACCAAATTATATCTCACGCATGTTACATACGCATAAATGATAAGTATAAGTTTTGCAGCAGTGAAATATCTTCTGGATGCTGCCTTGGTGGTCACATTTTACAACTACTGTGAAGGTAATTTGCTCGTATGGACTCTTATAAGTCCTACTGGTGGACTTTACAGATGCAACCAATGTAACAGAAACTATTCGTGGTTTCTACAATGGACTTAAATACACAATACAAGCATGATTGCCTCTCTAAATATTCGGATAGATGGTTGCATGCTATTTTCAAAGTTTGAAGTTTAGGTTGATTAATTAAGGCACTTTTTCAGAACTCAATAAAGTTACAATTGAAGGAGCATCAAATAGTGTTGGGGCACAACTGAGGCCCCCACAAACAGGCTGGACCTTGTACTAAAATCTTGTGCTATACATTTTTGAGGAGAGAACCAAACGAGATATTTTCATGGTAACTTTTTTATACTGCACTCTAATGCTCCTCTTGGTAGAAAGGATGAAAAGTAGGAGGAATATACTTTTTATGCGTCAAAGAAATAAAGTAGGAATGATACACTTTCCTTCCTTTGTTTTTGGTAAGATGAATGAAAAATAAAAATGATTAATTTTTTTTTTTGCTTGGTAAAATGAAAAAAATATTTTTTTAATTTTTATTTAAAAAATATAAATACATATTTTATCATTGTATTTATATATAAAATTAATGTGTACATAATATATGTATATATTAAAGGATATATAGACAAATAAGATACATTTCAATACAAATAATTAATTTTTCATCCATTTTTCTTCCGATTTTAGAATGATTGATTTTAGTGAGTAAAAAGAAAAGCTCATATATTCATCCATTATTTTTTACTAAACATGATGTTTTATTTATCCCTATAACTTTCCACCCTTCTAATTTTTCATCATTCCATTTTTCCATGGTACTAAAAGGAGCATAAATTAACATTGTAAGCCAAGTAAATGTAGGGCCGGGGGCAATTGTTCCCTGAACTTTTCAACTCCCTTAGTGAGCTCCCTACAAACTGACGATGCCCAGAAATTAGTCTTGAATATTCTCACCGATAATCTGATTAAATAACAAGTCTTTAGAATCTTTATGTAGAGTGTGTTTTTAATCATTACTGTTTAGCAACAAAATGAAAGAAAAAAGTATACAAGAACTTGAAATTGACAGGGTACTTCACAACTATCAAAATATTTAACTTAAACGAGCATAGTGCATGAAATAAATGAATAGGAATAGCGAAGACGGATTAATATAGTTGACCCAAATGATTGGAAAACAAGACTTGATTTGATTTAGTTTGGTAATTTACNCGCAAAATTCACCAAATTATTTCCTTTTTAACATTCATGGGCACACTAACAATGCTGTTTTTAAAGCAGCCGAAAATCTCAACAGTATTCCACAGATATGACTGGCATCACACCTTGGTAATTCTATTGGGAAAAAAACTAGGATTTCTATATGAGTTATCTGCAAACTACTTTCAAAGCCTCAAGTTGCCAGACCTTACATTTATTTTTTTTTTTTAANCAACAAAATGAAAGAAAAAAGTATACAAGAACTTGAAATTGACAGGGTACTTCACAACTATCAAAATATTTAACTTAAACGAGCATAGTGCATGAAATAAATGAATAGGAATAGCGAAGACGGATTAATATAGTTGACCCAAATGATTGGAAAACAAGACTTGATTTGATTTAGTTTGGTAATTTACAACTATACCCATTACGTGCGCAAGAATAACCTCTAGAACTGATCCCTCACAGACCCTGCATTAAGTGGGAACGATATGCACTGTGCACAATTTTTTATTTTTTTTTTCTGACTACAAAAATTGGTGCGAACAAGAATCGAAATTTTATTTCAATCTCAAACTACTCGAACTGTACGAATTTCGATTTTTATGGAANCACAAAATTCACCAAATTATTTCCCTTTTAGCATTCATGGGCACACTAACAATGCTGTTTTTAAAGCAGCCAAAAATCTCAACAGTATTCCACAGATATGACTGGCATCACACCTTGGTAATTCTATTGGGAAAAAAACTAGGATTTCTATATGAGTTATCTGCAAACTACTTTCAAAGCCTCAAGTTGCCAGACCTTACATTTATTTTTTTTTTTTAAATTTCCGGCTTTTTCTTTGTCCACTGATAAGCCTTTGATGGAGGCTGTATATCATGAATGAATAAGAATACCGAAAGTACGCATCTCTTTATCCTTTTTGGTAAGTCAATCAAGGAGTTCCTGAATAATAAACTATAATTTAGCCATAATACTAATTTTTACTTTTGATCAGGTTTCTGATGTAGATGTCACTTTCTGGTCAAGTCAGCAATTGACCTGTGTAGCATTCTAGCAGTTTTTCAAAGTCATTGTAGAAAGACAAGAGGGGTATGATTATGTGTGTGAGTGTGCACTTATGAGTATACGTATACAGGATGATGTGGTGGGCAGATCGTATGTTGCGTTCCTGATCCAGAATGGAAGCCTAATTGCATCACCGACAACACCAGGCCAAAAGAAACAAAGAAAAAGAATCGGGCCTCCAACATGCATCGTGGCTTTATTAACTTTAAATGAATACGGGTTAGCTTCGTTGCATTTTGTGCCACACCTGTTTTAAAAAATAAGGGTGTAGCCCATAAATTCGATATAATGACATGAGATTACAGTTTGATCAGGAGGTCATAAATGACCATTGTCTAGTTTCAAACTTCAAAGTCCCCATGCACAAAGTACCTGAAAAATGTGTAACCACCTACCTTGAGCTCAAATTCGATATAATCCGCTCCCAAGTCCTGGGCTAAAAGAAGTGCTTCCAGCCGCATTTGTTCATCACCATCATACTGACCACCTTCCCATTTTGGCCTGGAAAAGATAATAAAATATCCAACTTCATAAATGGAAAAAATCAATTTTCTGTTATAAAAGATAAAAAAATGGACATAGTCCTAATCATAATCATACATAATGAGTAGAAGTAATGAGATCACTCCAAACAAGGAGAGATGTTATCTGGGGGGATTTCAACATGACATGCTCAGTAGATGTGTTACTACTCAATTTGATCAGATTTTACTATGTATATCCTCGACATATCTCATCCACTGGTTATTGTCCTCGTCATTAGACATAAATNAAACATAAGTGTCTAGGTTGTTCTAAAATGGCATCACAAGTATCACCGCAAAGTTTTCCTATTTGTGTCAAAATTACTACTTTAGCCCCTTTAAATTGAGTTCCTTGCTTGGACGAGACCACAACAAGTAACTTCCCCAAGAACAAAAGCAGCAGAGAGTTCAGATACATACCGATACACAATGATAACTGGCAGTGGCTTATTCTTTAGGAGGATTTGAAGGTCACCCCTCGGCCGGAAATTCCTTATACAATCCAGCCTCACCTCAACTAAATCTGCACCTTGTGCCTTTGCCTGATACATTCCATGTAACATTTGCTCCACAGATTCACTCATTAATGGAGCGCACACCATTGTGGTGTTCGTCAACAAACCAATACTACCCATTTCACCAAAATAATCAAAGGACCCAGCAAGAAAGTTGCACAAAAAAAATAAAAAGAACAAATGATATAAAAAGAATCAAGGAATGTTGGTCAATGAGCTTGAACCATTGAATTACAAGGAAACGAATGGGTTGTAATGAAACGATTTCATTGTAGATTGGCTGCTTATGTTACAGTAATTGGGTCTTATCTGGATTCCAACATTACCCATCTGGAAAAAATAGATAAAAAAATGAGAAACGACGACAAATGAATTGGTGTTCAAAGAGATTGAACCAATATGGGTATTTATATACACAGTTGTCCGTAACAAACGGTAATAGAACAGCCCAGAAAATGTGGCAATCGTTTAGGTGGCATTGAGAGAGATTGGAGTCGTGAGAGGGAGGATATACGAATAGGTGAAACTGGGGGTTGGTGGACTCAGCTGTACACACGTAGTAGGAAACTACGCTACATGGGGATAATAACTCTTGCTTCAAGTACTCACCCGAAAAAAAAAAAAAAAACTTTTGCTTGAAGAAATGAAGTTCAAAGAAAGACTTCAATCGGATTATAGTCAACTCGAATTTAAATCTGATTAAAAACTTTTCATCTGAATCTAGTTTAATTATTAGACAAATTTAATTTTATAGTCTATATCTAAATCTATAAACAATCGACTATTCAATCTGATTTGAATAAATCAATTAAATTAAATTTTAGCAAATTACATCTATATTTCAATCTAATTTTATCAAATAATCACTTATTTCATCACAAATTTGTACAAGTATTTATATAAAATAGAGTACGTTTTAATAAATTTATCCGACAATCTCAAATAAATTTATTTAACGACTATTATCATTCCTCTTAAATTTTTACCGTACCTTTAAGTACGAGTTATCTCTAATAATTATATAATTTGTATAGAATTATAAATAGATTAAATAGTGATATATCTAGTAACGAATTCGGATTTAAACTAGAATTAGATTTGAATTGTTAGTAAAAAAAATATCAATTCATATTTATTTATTTGACTTAGAACTCAATTCAAATTAAAATTTTATCCATTGACACGGCATGGATATATACGAAGAGCNTATTAGTAAAAAAAAATATCAATTCATATTTATTTATTTGAATTAGAACTCAATTCAAATTAAAATTTTATCCATTGACACGGCATGGATATATACGANTGTTAGTAAAAAAAATATCAATTCATATTTATTTATTTGACTTAGAACTCAATTCAAATTAAAATTTTATCCATTGACACGGCATGGATATATACGAAGAGCAGTAGGAGAATAATTCTTTTTCTCTGTTGACGGCTAACAGGAGAATAAGTCCAAAAACAGAAGATAGACACAACCGCCGCGGCTCACTTCGGTGATTCAATAGATTAGGTTTCATCGCAATTTAATTAGTCAAATGTGATTTAACCCCAAATACAAAATACTTATTTGAATCAATTAGTATTTTTGGTTGATTGTTTGAATAAAAATTTGTTGTACGATATTTCATAGTATTATTTGGATCGACTAATATCATTTTTGATAATAATGTAATCTGAATTATAATGTTCTTGTCGGATAAAATTAAGTTGGAAGTAAAATGTGATTTATTAAAATTTAACTTTAATTGATTTAGTTATATCGGATCAAATTTTTGAAATGGGTATCTAATTATTAAATTAATTGGAGATGGAATATATATTAGATAATCAAACCAGAGCTTTCAAACTCAGATTGCTCAAAATCAATCCATTGATAAACCTCCTTCTGCCACCTTATTAATAAGTTTAAAGATCGAGTATTGTTAGGATGTGTTTTATGATGAAACACCGCTTAAGCCTTGAAACTAAATATTTTAAGCATTTAATGAATTAAATCTGTTTGTTAACATAAAACTCATACCATCTAATATTTTAAATTTTTTTTTAAAATATACTAAAATTTTAAGTAGTAAAGTGGAGTTTGATAAAATTGAAAAGTTGAAGTCTGAAAATTGAAAGTTGAAGTTTAAAAGTTGAAAGTTAAGTGCTAAATTTGTAGACTATCCACTAAAATTTAAGTACTAAATTGAACTAAACTTTTTACGTCTAAAAATAAATTAATTTTTAATTTTATCCTTCCATTCTTTAATTTGAAAATATTTATAAAATATATCATAACATGAATCATAATCACTATTATCATATTGTAGTCTATATTTAACAAACATCTGATAAAAATAAATAAATAAATAACATTTTAATAGCACAACAAGTGAATAATAACATTTGATCAAAAAAAAAAAAGAACAATAACTAATGTCTATCTGTGTGTGTTTGTAACTATGTGTGTGTGTGTGCGTGCAATGCGTATGTGTGTAATTATATATTATGTATATTTTTGTTACAGAAGACAAGGAAAGGAAAAAAGGAAGAAGAAAAAGAAGACAAGGAAGAAGATTTAAATGTTACCTACTCAAAAAGAGATCGACAAGGAGTACACATAAGTTTGGGGTTTTGAAAATAAGACTAATTAGAGTTTTAATAAGATTGTAAAATATTTTGAGATATAATTGTAATATTATAAATATTATTAAAGATAGTTTGTTGAATATTTTTAACTTTCAGAATTAAGCAAAGGATCTCATATTTAATATTGTAGCCTATTTTTAAAGATTACTTAACATATTAAAAGAGTTTAAATTTTGGTTATCAAACAAGCTTAATTAATAAGTACTAAATACATTCATTTTAGGCTGACCCAATAGCTCGACCAAATAAGGGGGCACTTTAGGCCCCATTTTTTACAAGTTTTCAATATGATCGAGACAAAAAATTTGAACTCATATAAATTAAGTCCAAACAAAAAGGTCCTATATAATTTTAACTAACAAAAAATTCTTATTCTTTTAAAAAGATTGAGCCCAAAAGTCCAAACTTATTCGTGGCATACCATTAATTACTCTTTATAACTAGTCAAAAGTGTCCATCACATCAATTAAACACTCGTGTCAATACATCAACCTCTCTCTGTTTGTTAAATTGTTTTTTCATCAAAAAACAAAACGAATGATTCTCTCTCACATTTTATTTGTGACCACCTTTCTAAATCACACAAACAACATCACCGAATCAGCCCTAGTATATTAACTGATACTCACGCTTTCTCTTTTTCAATTTTATTTTGTAAAAAATAAAATGTCAACTCCCTTATTCTTTTTTTTTTTCGATAGGTGATATTAAAGGAGAATCGCATTATAATATTCTAAGTTTTAGGAACCCTAATGATAAAAGTAAGTTTTATAATTTAGATTTTTATTAAGCTTTTTTTTCTTATAGAGAGAATTTGATTGATTTATATAAAAATTTTGGATTGTCAAAAATCTGTGGTTATTAAAAAACAACAATTCAAATATAAGAAATTTAAAAAAAAAAAAGAGAAAAAGAGAAAAACTAATTGAATCGTAAAAAAAGACCCCTTAATAAATTTAATACTAGTAATAAAAAAAATATAACAAAAGACTTAGTTGAAAAGTTCTGAAATGAACAAGTGATAGATCTTAAAGAATTAGAAAATATTGAAATTATACACCGAAAAAATAATAAATAATTTTTTTATTGGGATGGGTAAACATGAATTTGAAAAAAAATAAAACAAAAAAAAATTGAATAATTTTGTTTATATTAATCATAAAAAATAAAAAATTCCTCTTTTAAAATTCTCGCGTTAGGCCCCAAAAGAGCTCGGGCCGCCCCTGCATTCATTTTAGGCATTGAATTTGGGTTAACAAATATATTGTCATCTACTTATTACTTAATGTTAAAAATTTTAGTTGTTAAAGATATTATAAATTTCTCATAATTAAAAAAGATGCCGTCAATGTATTTTACACTCTTAATTTTTCAATACCCACCATCTAACACCACCACCACCACCATTGTGCCACCACTACCATTGTATCACCACCACCACCATCATTGTGTCGCCGCCACCATTGCGCCACCTCGACACCACCACCAACACTATTGTAATGGTGGTAGTAAGAATAAAGTAATTGCAATGAAAATGGTTTAAAAAAATANTATGCCGCCACTACCATTGTGTCATCACCACCACCATCATTGTGTCGCCGCCACCATTGCGCCACCGTCGACACCACCAGAACCACTATTGTAATGGTGGTAGTAAGAATAAAGTAATTGCAATGAAAATGGTTTAAAAAAATAAAAAAAAGTTAGAACAATAAAAACTTTTAAACTTCAACTTCTTAAATTTGTCAAATAGTTTGATTCAATTTAATACTTAAATTTTAGAAGATATCAAACAATTTACGAATTAAAAAATTCAGCATTCAGCACTTAAAATTTAGTTTTCCGTATTTATCAACGTCACCATAATATGATTGTTAAAATGTTGAAAAATAACTTTAATTGCTAGATCCTCTCCAGCAACTCCCATTTTTTATTTTGTTAANACCAAACAGTTTACGAATTAAAAAATTCAGCATTCAGCACTTAAAATTTAGTTTTTCGTATTTATCAACATCACCATAATATGATTGTTAAAATGTTGAAAAATAACTTTAATTGCTAGATCCTCTCCAGCAACTCCCATTTTTTATTTTGTTAAGAGAAAGTTAGAGACATCCTTATTTGACTGGTGTTTATTTAGATAATGTACCCGTATTTCTTTTCAAGAGTAAGCAAACATAATGTTATATCCAAGTGTTTATTTAGGTGGTGACCGATTGACACAAAAACGTAATGTTATATTTAAGGGTCACGTTGAAACTATCTATATTTTAAATAGTTAATTAACAAAAATAGGCACAATATACGAGATTTTATCATTTTGAGTATGAAGAGTACAATATGCACGCAACCTTATCTTATGTGCTGAAATACTATTTTTGCANATGCAATGTTATATTTAAGGGTCACGTTGA